TTTGTAGGGTTCACTCATTTATTACTTTGAAGACAAGAGGCAGGCTGAGACAGAGAAATCACTCCCCAATTTTAAATGGCCATAATGACTGGTACAAGTTCTGACTGAAGCCAGAAGACCAGAGCTCCAACAAAGCTTCCCATGTGAAGACAGGGAACTAAGCACTTGGGCCACTCTGCTGCCTTCCAAGGTATATTATCAAGGAGTTCAATTGGAAGCTGAGCAGCCATTGTAAAATGTTGGCATTGTAGGCAGTAGCTTAGCTCACTGTGCCACAACACTAACTCCCCTCATTCTTTCTCAGTTTAATCTGTCTTCTGGAACTGTTAACAGTCTGAGGACCTGAGACTTAACCTTGAAATGGAGATATGATTCATCATCTTGGGTATCTTACAATCTTCCCATATAAATTCTAGGATCTTGTGACCTTTATGTTTAAGCACTGAAGAAGTCAGAGATTTACCTTGAGTTTTTCTGCCTAACTAATCCCAACTTCAGTAAATGACATGCTGTCCCTCTAGTCACCAGTAGGGCACAATGAGTGGCTTAACTCTCTCTGATGCTTACTTCATCATATCCAAAAGGTAAACAAAATCTGCCTCACAGGTTGCTGCAAAGGCCAAATAAAAGGTATATGAAGCCTCAATCCATAAATAGGTCCTTACGGTGGGTAATTATATTATCATCATCATTATATTATTTGTATTACTCAACATTACAGTCACTTTTATTACTTCATGTTGCTCACCTAATGGAAAAATAATTGCTGTTAAAGTAGTTTGTCATAAATCAGAATTATCTGGAATATGAGGCCATACAGGCTGAATCTGTGACATTGGGAATAACCAGAAGAGCTACAAACTGAAACTTCATCCCAAGTCTCTGCTCTTGCATGTATTCTCCAGGTGGCCTCATTTTTTTAAAAAAAGATTTATTTTTTTATGGAAAGTCAGATTTAGAGAGAGAAGGAGAGACAGAGAGAAGGATCCTCCATCCACTGGTTCACTCCCCAAGTGGCTGCAGCAGCCAGAGTTGAGCCATTCTGGAGCTAGGAGCTTCCTCTGGGTCTTCCAATACAGGTACAGGGTCCCAAGGCTTTGGGCCATTCTCTACTGCATTCCCAGGCCACAAGCAGGGAGCTGGAAGGGAAGTGGAGCAGCCAGGAGCATTCAAGGCAAGGGCTTTAGCCAATAATGTACCACACCAGGCCCAGGCTCTCCTTCTTCATATCTTAATTCTGTTGGATTTTTTTCTTGTTTACATATAAAAACAAATAATAAAATGAAATGAATGTGACATTTTAATGTGAATGTTAATCATCATAAGCATTGTAGTTTCCATCCCCAAGGATATGTATCTTTTCTAGTCTCCAATCTTGGGACTGACAGAGGGCAGGTCTCTTTTCATAGATTAATTGATGAGGTTATGAAATCGCCAAGGGCTGTATCCTAGGGAGTTGTTTGGACAAAGAAGTGTGCTCCTGCGGTGTTTGGAGCCTAAGGTAGGCCACCTTCCTCCATTGGGTCTGGAAGAACAGTGAGCAAGACTGTGGGCCAGGGGTTCTGGGGAGATGGTTCCTGTGGGTGAGAATCAAGGGCAAAGAGGTGGATATACTGGAATAAGAAATAAGTATTTTCCAAGGTGTGATTTAGGGATGATTTTTCACAGAGAAAGTTAGCAGAGGAATTGGTTTAGGGGACATGAGTTTATCAGGATATGGATGAGCCCTTCCATGGCCTGAACAGGATTTGGTCTCCAAACTCATGTGGGACTTTAAGTCCAAAAGTTGTAAGTCAGGAGGTACTTGAAGAGTAGATTCTTAATCTAACTTGTTTAGGGGTGGGCCTAAGGGCATGACATTCAGAGGGAATATGGGAAAGGGGAAATCTGCCAGGAGAAGCCTGTGTCGCTGATGAGGGAAGATCCAAGGGGTGGTGAGGCAAAGGCCTGGAGACAGTGTCACAGACTGTATCAGGGGAAGGGAGTGCGATCAGAGACTGTGAGGCATTATAGGAGACAGACAAGGGGGAAATTTGACTAATCATCAGACTTTGCTTTGAGGCAAGGTACAAGAATAAAGAGCGCTCATGTGAATGAAATTCCATAATTGCTCTTGTTGATATATCTCAATTTAGAGACAAGAAGAAGTAATTAGACAGCAAACATTTTACCTAGCACTCAAAATAGAAGAGGTTATCATGGTCATTAGGATCAGGGAATCAGGGATTCCTTGACTTTCATAGATGGAATATAGGTGCAGAAAAGAAAAGGCTACTGCATAAAATGGTTAGCATTAGTCTGAGAGAAATGATAAAGAGGTGTGCTATTATTAGTGAAAAGAAAAATTCTAAGATGAATATAATCATTACTCTTAACCGTTTTGAGTAAACCCCCTCTATCCAGCTGTTCAAGCTTCTATTATGACCTCAGAATTCACTGTTCTCAGAAGACAGGTGAAAGCAAAGATCATTATGGAGTCTATTAATGAGTTGCTTGATACAGTGACAATCAAGATGTCAAAAATAATCTCATAAGGAAGTAGAATGGACAAACATAAGAAAATAATCATTTTTAAACAAGCAAAAACTTTATTGAACTATAAAACAGTATCCAATTGAGCCTCAAAAACACATAGCTCATTGCAAGAATTTCAGATGTTTAGAAGGGAAGTGACTAATGAGGGTCGTGTTGGTTAAGGAAGTTTACTCAAAGGGTCAAGGTCGTTGATGGGAGTGTCCATGGTCTTGGTGATTATGCTGTTGTCAAAAATGAAAATTATTTTGATCAAGATGATGATGATTAAGGACCCTCCCTAGGTAGAATAAATGTGTTTCTGGAGCCTTTGTATTATAATGACAACTGAAAGTCACCGTGCTTCATACACACACACACACACACACACACACACACACACACACATATATGTGTTTTGTGTTTGCCTTTGAAACCCCTTGGAATTTCTGGGGGTGACAGTAGTGTCTTTTCCAATGCACAGCAAGCCCCCTCAGACTACCCCTGAGTTTATCCTAGTGAGATTACTTCTAGTGGGTTACCCAAAAAGTTTCAAGATCTGGTCTTGGCCTCCAGAAAGAACATGCACATAATTAGGGCTGGAGGTTGAGTTCCATCACCAATAGTCAATCATTCGTATAATCAAGTCTACATAACAAAATCTCATTACAAGAAGTATACTAAAGCTCAGAGAAGTTACTAATTTACTTCAAAGTTACACAGCTTGGCCTGGTGTGGTGGCCTAGCTGCTAAAGTCCTTGTCTTGGATGCACCAGGATCCCATATGGGCACCAGTTCTAGTCCTGCTAGCCCCACTTCCCATCCAGCTCCCTGCTTGTGTTCTGGGAAAGCAGTCCAGGATGGCCCAAAGCCTTGGGATCCTGCACCCGTGTGAGAAACTCAGAAGAAGCTCTGGGTTCCTGGCTTCAGATTGATGCAGCACTGGCCATTGCAGTCACTTGGGAAGTGAATCATCGGACAGAAGATCTTCGTTTCTGTCCCTCCTCTTTGTATATCTGACTTTGCAATAAAAATAAATAAATATCAAAAAAACAAAGTTACACAGCTTGAATTTTTATTGAGAAAATATGTACATGTATAATTCTTACACATCACTTATAAAAAAAATCTTGAAGACTTAATAAAACACTAAATTCTCTCTGGAAAAGGAGCTTGCATCATCATCATCATCATCATGTCATTTTAGATGCCCTTAAGCAGTCTTGTCCCAGTGGGGAAGACCTAACACCACCGCATTGCTCAAAGTGTTTGTTCAAAATCACAGGCTGCTGTCCTGCACTTCCCCAGCAGAGCTTCCTGCCTCTTTTCCTGGGACATCTTGCTTAGGAGGTGCTTCACACACAAGCGGTGTCTCCGGTTATTGTCCAACTTGGGTAGTCTCATGGTTATAGCCAGTAGGACTCCTAAATTTCTGAGCAGGAACCTAGAGCACAGCCTAGGGACACATAGCAATGCAATCAGGAGGGACCCAGGTTCTTCCCTGATTCTGCCACAAGGAATGAGAGAATAAGCAGTTATTTTCCATGGATTAGACTTTCAGTTTGTCTTCAGATGTTACTACTGCAAGGGAGGCTAACAGTTTTAAAGTTTTTATTTCATATCCCCTGCCAGAAACATTGTCATAGTCTTTATAATAAGCACAAGGACCAGCATTGTGGCATCACCACTATCTGTGATGCCAGCTTCCCTTATCAGAGAGCCAGTTCAAGTCTCAGCCACTATGGTTAAAAAATCAGCTCATTGCTAATTCGCCTTGGAAGTAGCAAAGGATGGTGTAAGTGTTTGAGTCCCAGTTACCTGCAATCGAGGACCCAGCTGGATTTCCAGGTTTCTGGCGTCAGCCTGGCCCAACTTGAGCCATTATAGTCATTGGAGGAGTGAATCAGTGGATAAATGTATTTCTCTCCCTGTCTCTCCCTGCCTTCCTGTCACTCTACCTTTCAAATAAGTAAAATAGACTTTTTTAAAAAATGAAAGAAAGAAAAAGGTACAGCAGAGTAATAGATATAAAATCAGAATGGTTGGCACATGTAAAGAGAGGCCAGAAACCCCATTTGGCAACTGAAAGCCAGAATGTCTGTCTACACCAGGTGCAGAGAGCTGTCCACTCGACCCATCCTCCCAGGCCAGGCTTCTACCCCTGTCAGCACATGGCTGGGTACTCATTTGCTGATACTGATCTGTGGGGATGATCTTTGGGAAAAAACAAAAACAAACAAACAGAAAACAAAAACAAAAATGGCAAGAGACCAGTGAAGTTCTGTAGGGAGGACTTTATTCTTTCATAGCACAGAACAGGAGACCTGACCAGGTGGGAGAAAATGCAGAACCTTCCACAAGAAGATTCAGCATCTCACAGCCCAGGATATGGTCAGCAAGGAAGGAGCAGGGGGGGACAGCAGGTTGGGGTAAGTCTGTTGCACTTTGGTTCCTCCAGTACAGCTTGTTTCAGCTCTTCATGGCCCAGGTCAGCAGCAACCAGAGCCCCCAGACTGCTGGCCACCACCACTGCTGCCACAGCAACTGCTGCCACCGCTGCTGCCACAGCAGCTGCTGCCACCACTGCTGCCACAGCAGCCACTGCTACTGCCACCACCACAGCAACCAGAGCTCTGCTGTCGGCGACGAAGGGAACGGCGGGGTCTATGGTGGCTGAGGCAGCAGCCGCCACCCCCAGAGCTGCAGCAACCCCCTGAGCTGGAACCACAGCAGCCTCCAGAGCTGGAGCTGCAGCAAGAGACTTGAGGGCACTTAGGGGGACACTTTGGGGGGCATTTAGGGGTTTGAGGGCACTTGGGAGGGCACTTGGGAGGACACTTGGGAGGGCATTTGGGAGGGGGCTGGCACTGCTGCTGGCTTTGCTGGCAGGACATTTTTCAAGAGGAAGTCAGTAAACCTAGAAGAGATTTAAAAAAAAAAAAAAGGCATCAACACAAACATCAAGCAGATATGCCCTTACTTGAGAAGCTCCCTCTAAACCAAGCTTCTTTGTGAATAGAATCTATAAATTGAGTTTGGAGGCTGAAGTTAAAGCTGGTGCAATAAAAGCTCTTTTTCCCTGGCATGTCTTTTCTGTCTCCAGTGGTAGATGCTGTCCATCTTCACACAATGGCTCTAAAATCAGCCCCGTATTAGGCATCCTAAGCACTTGGTAACAATGCTGGTTTTACAATCCAGAACCTTCCTGGGATGAATCAGTCAGAGATAAATCATTCTTCTACATTTTAGATGGAAAATGATCATCTCTGAGAACATTTAGGGGAAGAAGAGTTAAAGAAAACATCTCGATAGTCTCCACTTGGGCAGTTCAGGTCCCATGATTTCTGTTGGTTTGTTCCTACCCCTGGTTTTTACTCTAAGATTCATGGGCAGTCATTCTCATTGTTGTCCTTCTCCAGGCTAGGACACAGTCCCATAGCCAGCTCCTTGTCAGATAATCAACAGACCAGAAGTCAGAAAAGCATGCCATCACCAAGGTTCACAGAGCCAACGCAGACCTGTTTCAACTACTGAAGAAACTCTCCACCCTCCAATGGCTTCTTCCTCTTCTCAGGCTTCCTTCTGCCCCTTCCCCAGACCATCTTGCCCAGCAGTCTCAAAGCGTTCTTTTCCCAGCACTCACCTGATCAGTGGAGGAACAGGAGGCTGTGACCAACACGGCTGAGGAGTGAACTGAAGAGCATGGTGCTGGAGCCCTTTTATCCTGGGCCTGGTGAGTTCCTGGGAATGAGGCACAGCCTGTGTATGCAGAGCAGTCACTTTCATAACCAGGATGAGGGTGACTCCTCACACTCCCAGCCCTGGGGCTCTAGGACCTCCTAGGAAAGAGGTGCAGAAGAATCCGGGAAGCCAAAGACAGCCCAGATATCTGCTCCAAGGCCTGGTCTGCAGGCCAGCCATTCCAGCTTCATGCATTCACTCCTTCCTTAATTCTATAAATATGAATTATTTATTGTGAGCTCACAATTTTGTAAGATATCAATGACACAAATATGACGTAGAAGGCTCTGAGTAACTTGCAGGGTTGGAGCATGAATGTGTAAGCAAGGAGTTGTAAGTTAATTGCCACATGATCTTGATCTTTGGTTCAGGTTCTTTATAGTTCTTCTTCAGGACAATTTCACAATCTTCTTACATGTCTTTTAAATGTATGAGCCATTTGAAGGCAGCATATGTTTTATTTACCTCTGTATCCATGTGTTCAGTACAGTATCCAGCTCAATAAACAGAGCGTGAAGATTGGACACCAGGAAAGAGGAAGGCAGACATTTCTGGAACAATGAGGCAGGAATGCAGGTCATAGTGTGGGAGGCTTTTTGGTGTCAGGATCCAAGAGAGATTCCTAGGGAGGCTTAATGCTATTTCTCTTACTATTGAGTATTAATTCTCAATAATTGGAGATAAATGGAGATCATTACTTCCTGGGAATCAGATCAGACTGGCAAAATGTGGACTAGAAGGAATTACAGGGGAAGTTAAGGCCTTGGGGAGTCTAATGACTCCTGGAGAGTAGACGCCATGAGGAAGGTGTGATGCCACCATCATAGGAGAGAGGTGACTTATAAAAGGAGGTTAGGAGAGTAATAAACACTATTCTGAACTTGAAAGTTTCTACAGATTTTTTGCTTCAAGGTTGGAGTTACAACAAGTGTGTTATTAAGTTATTGTATGTCTGTAAGTAGGTACTGATAGGAAGAAAAATAAGACAGGAAGAATTTATTTAATTTGACATTGGTTCAACACCTACTAATGAGCAAACATAAACTGTGAATAAAGAATTGTCACTTTAAAAAATATTTATTTGTTTGAAACACAGAGAGAGAGTCTTCACTCCCCAAACGGCAATAATGGCCTACCCTCTGCCAGGCCAAAGATGGAAGATGAGAGCTTCTTCCAGGTCTCATGTGGGTGTGAGGGCTCAAACACTAGGCCCATTTTCTGTTGCTTTTCCAGGTGCATTGGCAGAGGGATGGATACAAAAGTGGAGCACTGGGACTCAAACCAGTTTCCACGTGGGATGCTGGCAATGCAAGCAGTGGCTTAATGCACTGTGCCACAATGCCAGCGCCCCATCATTAATTTTAATGAACACATATTGTAGCTTGAGGTGCTAATAGCTTGTTTTTATTGTTTTAAATTTCTCTGGTATAAATTTGCTAGGGTTCCAATGGCATAGATAGGAGATTATCACACATACAAACTTAATTGGCTCTTTGATTGTAACTAATCATTAGGAAATATGTGATTGGACAAGATCACAAAGGAGAATACACATGCAGAGAGCAGAGAGAGACAGAACCAGGCACAACTTCAACGCGTAGGCAAAGCTGAGACACCTAGTGGGAAAATGATCCAGAGAAATTTCAGCATTCTGGGGAAAATGAAGAAAGAAACTTCAAAATAGGAAAGCATACTCACACTGTCGCTTGCTTTATGATGGTATCTCTCAATTACATTGGATACATCATTTCAGCAGTGAGACTTGAAACCATAATCATTTCGGGAGTAGAATAAATAGCAGAAATCACCATTTCAAAAGATTTATAAGATAACTCAATTATCACTTTCAAAAAACTCAATAATGAGATTTTTAATAATGGGATTAAAGTAAGATCATGATGGAAAATTACACATGAAATTTGTGATGTTGATTCAGAGAGCTTGATTTTTAAGAAAAAGTGATTTTAGAAAAAAAAATTTAAGAAAACAAGTTTTTCTCTCTTTTTTTGAAGATGTATTTGTGTCTGACACATAGCAATGGTACATAGTTACACAGCACATAATTTTGTATTCCCGAAATCAATATAATTTGAAATAGAGAATAGGCACATCTGCTGCTAGGAGACATTTATCCTTTCTTTGTGTTGGTGACATTAAAAATCCTCTCTATTTTGAAATAGTTAATTGTTATTAATCATAGATATCTTACTATATGATAGAAGTGAATAGTCTTATATCCCACTGCACCTGTTTACAACCCTCGCCCTCCCTCCCTCCCTCACATCTTTCAAAGACTTGGGAACCACTAGCTCACTCTATGTCATTGACAACAGCATTCTCACTTCCATGTATCAGTGAGAACATGCGATATTTATCTTTCTGAGCTCAGGGATAGTTAAGAAGGACTTAATTAAAAGCCAGCGATCACACCCCTATTAAGAGAAGCTGCAGATAGCATCAGATAAAAGAGCGAAAGAAAAGAGGCAAAATTAAAGTGAACAGGATACATTTCAGAGTATTACCTTAAAACAATGCAGTAGAGACTTAAGTTGGCTTTTCTGCTACTTAAGGTAGCACACTGGGCAAGCCTGAACAAAAAATTCATATATGTGAAAGCTTAAAAAGCTCCTGAAAGGATAGATTAAAAATTCACATGAACCTTGTGAGCTGCTCTTGTATATCCTAAGGCACAGTTTCATTGCCTGCCAAAAAACGGTCTTAGCTGTATTCATCGGTAAGCATAAAATGAAACATTACACTGAACACAGCACTACACACCGTGCTGGAACTCAGACAATGGTGTCTGCATCCACAACGCCTATTGCCACCACTCTGTGGTTTACGACTTTGTCACATGCTTTGTACTTTAGCGGATAGCTTTCTGCCTACCCAGGCTCCCTCACACAGAGAGCAATCAAAACAAAATAATGTAATTAGAAGGACTTTTTGCCTGGAGTTTTCTGTAATGATTAATTTTTCATAAAACCATTTATATAAGGTAAACAAATTTCATGTATAGAGATTTACAAGCATAGTGATACATTGTCCTATTTGTTTTTTCAAAGCCAACAATAAAGATGGCAGAAAAATGATGCTTACATATGTCATACACATAACTTACTAAACACTCCATGTGCAAATATTAAAGTAGATAAGAGGGAGGACTGGAGAGATTTAGAGACCAACTTTATCTTCAGAGATGTGTTTGCAGGGTTTATCATCCAGAAGGTCAGACAAGAACTCCAATAATCTTAACATTAACTGACAATGGTCATTCTAGTTCTCACTTTGGCCACACTTACACTAAAATTGGAAAGATATAGAAAAGATTAGCATGGCCCCTGTGCAAGGATGAGTGTGATCGTTCCAGAACAAGTTGTTCTCTTTGAAAACAAAATGAGACTCTTCAGAGTGGAAGTGTAAGAAATTAAAAATAAGCAGAAGTGAATGCAGATATTTATAGACTTAAACTTATAACCACAGTATATAAGAATGAAATACAGGGACAGACATCTGGTGTAGAGGCTAAGGTTCCAGATGTTGAAGTGCTTGGATTTAAAATCTCTTGATTCTAGATTCCTATTGTTGCAGAGCGTGGGGCCAGGAGGAGACGCTCTAGAGTGGTTGGGTCCCTGCCACTTTTGTGGGGGACGTGACTAAATTCTTGTCATGTCTTCAGCCTGGCCCAGATTCAGCTATCAAGGACATTTGTTGAGTAAGCCAGCAGAGAGAAGCTTGCTCTCTCCTTTTCTCTGTCTCTCTCATCTACATCTCCTTCAAATAAAATAAAATAAAATTTCAAATTAATGAGGCACAAAGAATTGCAGAGGAAGAGACAATTGGAGTGGAAACCTTGTACATAATTAGGAAAATGATAACAAAAATAATGAAGGTAACACAGAGAACTGTTCCCACTTCACACAGCTGAAGTGACATGCCGCTCTCAAATTAATAATTCTGGGGCTAACACCATGGCATAATAGGCTAATATCTGCTTGCTGTGCTGGCATACCATATGGTGCTTGTTCCTGTCCTGGCTGCACCACTTCTGATCCAGCTCCCTGCTTATGGCCTGGAAAAGCAGTGGAGAATGACTCAAGTCCTTGGGTCCCTGCACCTACGTGGGAGAGTCAGAGGAGACTCCTGGATCCTGATTTTGAATTGGCTCAGCTCTGGCAATTGTGGCCATTTGGGAAGTGACCAGTGGATGGAAGATCTCTAACTCTGTGACTCTGCCTCTCAAATAAAAATATTTTTAAAGCAAATTAATGATTCTAATTGCTGTGCCATCTTAGGGAGAAAGTAATTTTTAAGGGATGGAAAAATTCAGATTTACTCTTAGATGAATTTTGACTAGTGAAAATTACAGTGGGATTGATAGTAGTGGTGGATGCCTGATCTGAATCCGTTGGACTCTGCCTTGCATGTAAACAACTATATCAGGTAAATTTAGTTAGCCTGAAAATGTTCTCTATTTCTTACAAAATTAAGGATTAGTTTCTTCTTAAATTATGTATTTCCCAAACTTGCAAATAAATCTGGAACAGTTTTATCTTGAAAGTCAGAGCTACAAAGAAAGAGGGAAAGACAGAGGCAGATCTGCCATTCACTGGTTTGCTCACCAGGTTGTGCCAGATTGCACCAAAGCCAGGAATCAGGTGCTTCAGCCACATTCTCCACGTAAGTGAGTAGAGACCCATCTGTCACTGCTTTCCCAGGCTACTAAGAGGGAGCTGCATAGAAAGTAGAGCAGCCAGACTCAAACTGGAGCTCATATGGGATGATGACATTGCAGGCTGTGGCTTTGCCCACTATACCACAATGCTGACCCCAGAAACAGTTCTTTTAAAACTCAAATTCTGAAATAGATTGTAATGTAGCCCAGGCAATGATTAATGAATTTGGTAATACTTGCTATACTGAAGACTGGCTCATCTTTTAAGATTTGGGAAGTGCATTTGAAAAGTGTTGAGACTTCTCCTTTCCCAAAAAGTGAATCATAAGGAAGTTCTGGTTTGATGCAGCATTTCCATAAGGCAGATCACAGCCCTGAGCAGGGGCACATGGTATACAGACAGAATGGGCCTCCACAAGTGAATGAGTCCAAAAAGCAAGAGGTTTTATTAAGTGAAACTCGTCTCTGTGCATCAAGACTTTTCAGGCAATTAAGGAACCACAGATGACTAAAGTCAAGTGGCGTACTTACAATGCTAGCTTTCAGACAATATATGATATCTTGACCTATTTGAACATGGAAGCCTATTTTGTGGTAGATTTATAGAATTAATTTTGAATATTACAAATCTAGACCCCTGATGAAGCCTGGGGATCCCAATAGGGGCGGATTATGTTATTTGGATAAACTGTATTGTATTACAAGCAACTAAAATGGTAGCCGATGTTGTGCGTAGCAGATAAGGTTGCCACCTGTGATGCCAGCATCAAACATGGATGCCAGATCATTTCCCACCAGTTCCACTTCCAATCCAGCTCCCTACTAATAACATGGGAAAGCAGCAGAAGATGGACCAAGTGCTTAGGCTGCCACCCACATGGGATCTCTGATGGAGTTCCTGGCTCCTGGCTTCAGCCTGGCCTAGCTGAGGTCATTGTGACCATTTGAGAAGTGAACCAAAGGGTAGTAGATCTCTCTCTCTTTCACTCTCTCTTTCTTTCTTTCTTTTCCCATCCTTCTTTCTCTCTCTCTGTATGTATTTCCCTCTCTTTGTACCTCTTACTTTCAAATAAATAAACAGAACTTTAAAAAGCACTTTTAAAATAACTAAAATGATGAATATATACATTTATATGAACACACACACCTATGGATATACATGTGCACACATATACAATATCAGTGTATAGGTACAGATTCGATACTCTCTCATGTTTGTGTGCATAGCTGTGTCTGTGAGATCCTGCACATGTACAGACACACACACACACACACACACACACACACACACACACACACACACACACTCATACACGTTAGTTATGGATAGGAATTTCCAGGCAATGACATAAGTAAAAGAAATAAGAGAGAGGGGTATGGTAAGCTACTTTTGCCCTAAGGATTAAAATCAAGATAACACTGAGTGATCTTGCTAGTAGAGGAGGAAGTCAGAGCTCAGGTACCCAACAGGGTCAGCCTGAGCTGGCTCCCAGGGAGGTTGAACCGAAGACTCTGGCTGCTGGGACAGCTGATGCCATTCCATCCAAGCCTTTGGGATTAGAACTAGAGACAGAAACATCCCTAGAGCAAAGGACCTTAGTGATTTGGTACATCATCAAACACGTAACCCCTCACTGTGCTCTGCTTGGCTGGGTCCTGCTCATCTCTGGCTTGTCATAGGTTGTGTTGCCCCTAGCATCCTACTGCTACCTACATTACACATCTTTCCTCTATGTTTCCACGAGGCGTTACTGTACGCATCATCATCTTACACATGTTGTTTGACATGCAGGCTCAATCAAAAGACCACGGACTCCTCAAGGACAGGCACCAGGCCTTCTTCATGTTGGTATTCCCCACACCCAGCCCTGAGTAGACCAGGTTTGCTTCATCTGCCCTTACTCAGAGTGATTAAACCTTCCTGCCAGTGCGGAAACCCAGGAGGAGAGTCCCAAGTGCATAAGGCAGCTAATCTCTGAGATGAAGGCCAAGCCACACCTCCTCTAGGGCTGTCCAGATTCAGTGCTTTATTTTAAGGTCTTTTTCTTTTTTATTGCAAAGGCAGATTTACAGAGAAAAGGAGAGACACAAAGATCTCCCATCTATTGTTTCACTCCCTAAATGGCTGCCATGGCCAGAGCTGAGCTGATTTGAAATCAGGTGCTAGGAACTTATTCCAGGTCTCCCATGCAGGTTCAAGAGAGAGGGGTATGGTAAGCTACTTTTGAACCTGCATGGGAGACCTGGAATAATATATACCTTTTTTCTTTCTCTCTCTCTAAAGTATAAAGAGAATGTAAACTAGATTTTTGCCTTGTAGTTCTTAGTTATCATTACAATAGAACTTTTTAAAAGACATAGACAAGTAAAAGAAGCACAAAGTGAAGAGAAGTTGAAGATAACACTCTAAGAAATCAGATTCTGAAATTTCTTATGGAACAAAAGCCCTCCACGAAATGAAAATTCAAGTTCTTATAGTTGGAGGAAGAATCACAGCTAGGTTAACACTGAAGTAAGGCTTGGGTAAAGTCTGACCTACTATTAGTGTGTCCTCAGACAAGTTATTTAGCCCTTAGGAGGCTCAACATTCTAGCTGTAAAGTAAAGGCAATGATTCTATCTCCCTTTTAAGTAATGGATGAAATGCAAACATTCTTCCAATAAAAGCACAGTAATTGTGTGTTACATGCCAGACAGTGTTCTTGGCATGGGGTACACAAATAGTCCATAGGAAACACAAGACCCCTGAGTTCACTCCAGGATCGTTTCATTCTAATAAAAAGGTAGAACAAGAAAGAAATGAACAAGTAATATAGTATTAAATAGCAAAAAAAAAAATCTAGGAAGAAAAAGTAGCACATGGTGAGAAGTGGGGTTCTAACATTGTCTGAGTGTGGTCAGAAGTGAGGTGTGTGGATTCCTTAGCACCATGACAACTCAACACACCACAGACAATATTCACCTTGGGTTTTTCCTGTCTGTAAAATCCATGGAAGCTAAACCCGTGAGTCTTCTCCTGTGTTCCCTGTGTCATCAGACTGGATTCACACAATACAGGAAATCACCAATCGGATAGACATAAAATAGGGAGGAGACATTCCTTTCTTTGGCAAGTACATGTTGAGTGCCACCCTGTGCTTGGCTTCGATAAGCTAAGAAGGCCTGGTTCCCACCTCGTCCAGAGTGCTGGGCTAGTATGCTGTGATGAACAGGTTTCTCAGCAGAGTATCTATGTGGGCTGCACACAAGGCTACTCAGGTACTGCCTTTCTCAGCCTTCTGATGCTGTGCATACTATTCCACCCCCTCTGCTCCCACTGTGGCTCAGTCCACTTCAACACTCAATGATGTGATAATCAGGTCACCAGCTACCATCAGCTGGGTGGAGATGCTTACACAGATGGCAGGGAATGCTATCTGATCATGATGTTTCCCAGCCAACTTCTGTCTAAGGACCTAGTCTGGAGTCCCTCTGGTGGTCATGCACTGATTCCAAGAAGGAACTGTTAACCCAGGTGCCTCACTTCCTACACTCCTTTAAGGCAAGCAAGTAGCTGCACATCAAAACAGTACCCTATTTACAACATTATCTGCACTGGGAGGAGGATCCAAGAATTGAAGAAAAGACTATGAGAGCTGGAAAATGCATGCAGGGATCAACTCACACCACCCAGCCCCATTTTAGAGAGGAGGAAAATGAGCTGCAAAGAGGTG